TCAGTGGCCAAACTCAACCTGTCTCTTTATTGCTGCATTTCTCCGACTTCCACTCAACAAGTAGATTCAGGTGGTCACCTAGCAAGCATTTCCGCCTGCTCACAGGCTTCCTTTAACATTCAGTCCCAGAGAGGAGTTTTCTTCATGGTTCCAGATTTTTTCCAGCTTCTGACAAAGACTGTGGTGTTAAACGGGGGTGATTTTGTTCCCCTTCTGAAACATCAGGCAGTGTCTGGAGATTTGTGTCGTTGTCTCAACTAGGAAAGGAAGAATGTTCTACTGGTAACTGGTAGGTAGTGGACAAGGATGCCCCATAAGGCACAAGACAACACACTTTGTAGTTTTTAGCTGCAGCTGAGTCAGTATCCAGGCCAAAATATCGGTAGTGCCAAGGTTAAGAAACTGTCCCATCATATGAACAAGAATGTTGTCACTTATTTCATCATTTACAAGTGAAAATAATGGGGCACACTGGCTTTTTTTTTTTAATCTTCAGAAATAAAGTGTGAAAGAACATAAAATTGAACTATGAACTAAAATTTACCAGCATCGGGGAAATAGATCTACATGCATATATTTATAGGTTTGTATTAAGGGAGCAGATGGACATTGGACCTCCACTCAAGGACTTACTCAATGCAAGAACACATTGTTCTATCAAATTGGCATTCCATGATCCACACCTTCCCGACATGATCACTGAAGACAAATGTGTGCATAAGCAAATGTGGTGAAGAAAGCTGACGATGCCTGGCTATCAAAAGATATAGCGTCTGGGGTCTTAAAGGCTTGCAGCTAAACAAGCAGCCATCTACTTCAGATGTATCAAAGCCCACATGGAAGAAGCACACCAGCCTGAGTGACCACGAGGTGTAGAAGGGACCAGGTATCAGACATCAAAGAACAAAAAATCATATCAATGTGTGCCCACCTTCCCGATATGATCACTGAAGATAAATGTATACATAAGCAAATGTGGTGAAGAAAGCTGATAGTGCCTGGCTATCAAAAGATATAGCATCTGGGGTCTTAAAGGCTTGAAGATAAATAATCGGCCATCTAGCTGAGAAGGAAAAAAGCCCACAGGAAAGAAGCACACCAGTCTGTGTGATCATGAGGTGTCAAAGGGATCAGGTATCAGGCATCAAAGAACAAAAAAATCACATCATTGTGAATGAGGGAGAGTGCAGAGTGGGGACCCAAAGCCAATCTGTAGGCAACTGGATACCCCCTTACAAAGGGGTCGTGAGGAAGAGACAAGTCAGTCAGGGTACAGGGTAGCAATGATGAAACATACACCTTTTCTCTGTTTCTTTTTTTTTTTTTTTTTGACCAACTTTATTTCTAACCAAGGGTTCTAACTCCTTTTCTCTATTTCTTAAATGCTTCTCCCCCCCCCCCACTATCATGATCCCAATTCTACCTTACAAATCTGGCTAGACCAGAGGATGTACATTGGTACAGATAGGAACTGGAAACACAGGGAATCCAGGACAGATGATGCCTCCAGGACCAGTGCTGAGAGTGGCGATACCTGGAAGGTGGAGGGAAGGTGGGGTAGAAAGGGGGAACCTATTACAAGGATCTACATATAATCTCCTCCCTGGGGGATGGACAACTGAAAAGTAGGTGAAGGGAGATGTCAGACAGTGTAAGATATGACAAAATAATAGTAATTTATAAATTATCAAGGGTTCATGAGGGAGGGGGAGCATGGAGGGAGGGGGGAAATGAGGGCTCAAGTAGAAAACAAATGTTTTGAGAATGGTGAGGGCAACAAATGTACAAATGTGCTTGACACAATGGATGTATGTATGGATTGATAAGAATTGTATATGAGCCCCCAATAAAAATGATTTTTTTTTTAAATTACCAGCATCATCTTTTATCTTGGTGATGATTCATAATCATGTTTTCCCCCCCAGGTGCTATATATTTTACATATATCATTTATCCAACTGAAGCACTTGGACTATCATGAGAAATTTTCTGCTGAGAAAAATAATCTCCTTCAAGGTGAGAATTGCTACACCAAGTTTTAGAAGAAGTGCAAATATATGTATGTACCCTAATTAAAATTAGGTCCTGGGAGAATTTAAGTCTACTGGGAATTCCTCATTTGGGATCATTTCTACAGCTGGCCACGATGGATATATTCCTTTACCAATAGCTTTCACACCTCACAGCACAACTCGTCTTCAAGGTGCTGATAGCTTATTTCTTATCTTGGAGGCCTAAGAATGTGATTTAAAAGTGTACCTAATTGCTGTTTATAAACATGACAAATTTTACAGAGAGATATAGGTCCTGTACTATCTTTTTCTCATCATATAGATCAATACCACCTCAAGGAAGGAGGTCTCACATTGGCTGGAGTCACTCCTTCAAGAAGGGGGACAAAGGGGACCATCCACTTGATGCTGTACCACATTGAAACAAGGCTGTGTCAGATCAACAGGCCGTCCATAGGAATGAGAGGAGACCCTTACTGGAAAGTCAGGTTGAGATCAGGGGACAGGAGCATCTACATTTCCACGGAGGCACTGCTATTTCTGTTGGTGGGTATGGTGAGTAACGGGAGGAGCAACAACCTCACATTGGGAAGGGATGCTGAACAATAATCATAGGGAACCTAAACGGAGAATAAACCCAGTTCTGTGGTCCTGGGTAGACCGTCCTTGAATGTGTCTCTACCTACCTTTCAGTGAACCACACTGTGGATGGACACTACGACGAGCTTAGACGCTGGCCTTACAAGAAACATGGCATCCCCCAAGGGCCACACCAGACTCAGTGTGGAAGCTTGACAGAATGAAATGGGCCCTACCTCCAAAGTACTTACTACCCTGGGACTGAGGACTGAAATACCCTGATGGGAGAGGATGCAAGGGATGGCCACCCCATGACTATGGAAATGGCAGTCATTGGACCTTGGGTGGATCCCCTTTCTTAGTCGATGTCCAATGAAAAGATACCCATAACCACCTTTTGTCTGGTGCTTCAATGCTCCCCTTGCATTAATATGACAGGTTTTGACATGAGAGGCAAGGGTCTACCCTTGTAAGAGATGATGCAGGAAATTTCCCCCTAGCCCCAATCCCCATGCTCAGTGTAAACAGAGCCCAATCAATTTGTACAAAGCAACAACTCATAGATTGCAGTTCACAGTTGGACCATACTCCCATAAATTCCTAATATCAACAGTACCTTAAATTTCATGTCATCAGATAAATTTTTGGTGTTATCAATGCAATCACCTTATACCTTAAGGGGATGATTAACAATGTTTGTTGTTGTTGTTGTTGTTGTTGTTGTTGCTCTTGTTGGTTCTGTTTTTTTTTATTGTTTTTGTCATAATATGACCACCAAAGTAAACCAGAGTCATTCATAACCTGGAGACAAGCAGATGGATTCTAGATTCCCAAGCAATTCTAATCCCAATTCAAGAACAGTTAGTTCTTACAACATGGTCCTGCAGGAAGACATCACTGAAGATAAAGGTGCTACAGCAAGTGTGGTAAAGAAAACAGATGGTGCCTGACTATCAATTACAATAGTATCTGGGTCTTAAAGACTTGTATTCAAACAAGCAACAGTCTAAGTGAGGCATCAACTAAGTCCCTCGGAAGAAGCACACTAGCCTGTGTCATCCAAAGATGACAGTAACAAAATGCAAATATGATGAACAGAAAAGCACCAGAGCTTAAATTGTGAGCATCCAATTTGTAGAAGGCTATGGAGGAGGGTAGCAACCAAAATCTGTGTGTCTGCTTGGATTGGGCCTCTGGCAAATCCCCTCCAGTCACAGGTGAGGGACTCAAACAGCTTTACTATCAGACAGAGATTATTGTAACCTTGATGATGGTGAATCAAACCATGGTACAATATGATACTTGGTCAGTTGACCTCTCTCTTGATCCAACCTGTATTTGCTCCATGCACACATATTTCTTGATCCAAAAAAGAAATTTCTTTGGCCTTTTAAATATTGTTGGTGTTTTTGCTCACTTACTCTTTACTTTTATATTATTATTATTGTTTTCTTTCTATTTCATTGTGTTTTTGTTTTTTATACCTTCTGTTAGGTTTCCCAGTTTAGGAAGCACAGGATTGGATACATAGAGACATTAACTGATGCAATGATTTATCAGGAAGGGGAGGGGAACTGGGAAGCGATCAGTGGATGTGGGAAGAGGAAGGGAGCATTAGAGTTGATGGTGATGAGGTATATACAACTTTTTAGGAGCAGTTTAACTATGGAAGTGTATGATAGTTTTAGAAAACTACTAAGAAAAAAAAAAAGGTAAAGAAAAACCCAACGACCTATGGTTACCAGGGGTGAGGAAGGAAGAGTGTTTGCTTATAGGGCATTGAGTTCAATTTAAGGGTAGTGGAACAATTTGGAGAGGGATAGCAATAATGGTTGTACATCACAGAGTATAATCAATGGCACTGAATTATACATGTAGAAGTTGTTCAATTAATGAACGATTTGTTGTGTATATTTTTGCCAACATTGAAAAAAATTACATGACTAACAATGAGTATCGAGAATAAGAAAAGGGTCTAAAGTTGATTGTGGTACAGATTGTGCAATTTTTCTTGATATGGTTGACCTATTGAATTGTACGATATGTGATGAAGTGCAAATATAACTGTTTAAAAAAAAAGAACAGTCTTGGAAACTCACAGGGGCCATTCTACCTTGTCCTATGGGGTCGCTATGAGTCAGAATCCCTTCGATGGCAGCAGGAAAAAGTACTTAGGGGGACTTCAGATAGTAGCTGTTATAAACCAATGCACAGGGGTTTCAATACTTCAATGAGGAGTTTGTGCAAACTTGTATGACATGGCTGAGCACCAAGAGATCATTGCTGCCCTTGGTAAGGGTTTTTTTCCAGTAGTACCGAAAAGCCCCATTCAGGCTCAGTAGGATGAGAGGTAACGGAGGGGTAGAGGGAGTGACTGGACAACTCTGCCAAGATGTTTGATTTGGGGAAAGACAGGCAACTTTATGATAGCCAGCGTTAGAGATAGGAGAAATTATTGATATATTTTCTATGTTGGCAGAGACTTTAGCATGCAAAAACAGTGAACATGGAGGGCTAGGCCCCATTTAGAAAGAGGGACACTCCTTTAATTTGAATAAGCTGGAAGGAGAGAAGTTTGTAGCCAATTCATAGCTAAAAATTGAAGGAATTATTTCTCAATAGACTCAACCGATTCTTCCACCTGCCCCACCCCATGAAGTCGGTAGGAGGGATAATGCTGAGACTGAGGGGTAAGACATTTGATAAAAGTAGGTCAGCATGTTGATTGAAGGAAAGAGCCCAAATAGCATGTGGCTCTCTCCTTGGATGGACACCTTCATCTCCCAGCTGGACCTGCATTGTGTCCCACTCAATCCATGTCTGTTACTCCCACCTCACCCACAGCCTAGTTCTAGAGTAGCCAGGGTGTTCTTTTCAAAGGAGAGTCAGACCATTTCAATCAGCTGCTCAAAACTCTCTAATGGCTTCCCATAGCCCTTGGAAGAAAATCCCAAGTCCTCACTTGGGTCTATGAGGCATTAATTATGTGGCCTCTGACTACCATCCCAAACTCATCTCTACCACCGTTAGCAGGCCATTGCCTGCCTCTGACAGTCTAAACACCCCCCACCCCCACTCCAGGGTCTTCGTGCCTGTTGTTCCTGGGACTGTCCTCCCAGAGGCTCATTTTGTTCTCAGTGCAAAGTCACTTCCTCAGTGAAGCCTTCCTCGGTTCTCAAAAACCAAATTGAGTTGATTCTGACTGATAACAATCCTGTAAGACAGAGTAGAATCGGTCCTGTGGGTTTCGAAAGCTGTGAATCTTTACCCGAGCGGAAAGCATCATCTTTCTCCCACTGAGCAACTGATGGATTGGAAGCATTGCCCATATGGTTAGCAGCCCAACTACAACCTACTAGTCCACCAGGACTCCTGGTTATTGCATCTAAAATAGCTCCCTCCTATCACTCACCTCTTTCTTAGCTTTATTTTTCCAGATAACTCTCATTGTGATCTAGTATCTGCCTGTTGCCCCACACCCCTCCCCCCTGACCTCAGGATATAAATTCCACAAGGTTAGGACCATTGTCTGTCTTGTCCCTTTTGTGTAGTATCTTCACATGTCACAGTGTTGGTTCTTAATATCTGAGTGATTGATGGATGATGTCATGCACCATTCAGTTTTGCCAGAATAATGACAAATGAACTGAATGGCAAAATAAATAAGGATGTTTGCCAAAAAGGGAAATAAAGACTGAATGAAAGAATAGACCACAGCTAGGTAAGGAAGTAAGGAGAGGACTACCTGAGAAGAATTAAAGGAGAGTTTGGGAACTATCTATTCCAAAGAGATTGGAGAATTATCATAAAATGGGAACAGCTGAACAAACATACTGCAATTTTAAGATTTGAGGTCAGGGAATGGGATGTTTTATTAGATGAAATCGTTTCCAGTGGCATAAGATCTGTAGGTAACTGGAAATCAATGGAAGAGGACACAAGAGAAGGTCGCTTAAAGTAAAGCCAAGAAATTAAGAGGCGTGGGTGTTAGCCATAATTCTGGACCTTGGGGTGACCCACAATGAGCCTGGTACAAAGGGCCTGAATGACAAGAAAGGAGAAGAGCAGTGTAACCACATGGCATGAGCCCCAAAGGATTAGAAGAAATTTATAAGATGAGGATGAAGTGATAGTCTAGAGACAGTGATGAAGAGAAAGAGGGACAAGCTCAGTCCTGAGACATATAGATGTGAGTTCAGACTCTACCTTAGAGGGCCATTCTAAAAGAGCAGGTTTTAATTAAGCCAGGACAGTATTCCTCGAAGATATGGAATATATAGGGAATTAGCTGATCCCAGAGGGCACATTAGAGAGCTAAGGTGTGAGGTGGGAACTGATTCGGGGTTAAGGAAGTAGATAATAGTATAGGAGTGTTAGGGAAGTGCAAGCATTATCAAACTTCAATATGCATCAGAATTGTGGAGGGCAGGTTACATGAGGAGCCCTGGTGGTATCGTGGTTACGCATTAGACTGCTAACATTAAGGTCAACAGTTCAAAACCACCAGATGCTCTGAAGGAAAAAGATGAGACTTTCTATTCCTGTAAAGGTGTACAGTTTTGGAAACCCACAGATGCAGTTCTACCCTGTGCTGTAGGGTTGCTATGAGTCAGACCCAACTTGATGGCAGTGAGTTTGGTGTTAAAACACAATTGCTGAGCTCTATCCCTAGAGTTTCTGATTGAGTAGATCTAAGGTGGGACCTGAGAATTTGAATTTCAAAGAAGCTCCCCAAGGTTTAGATGCTGCTACCCCAGGGTCTACCCTTTTAGACCCCCAGTGGAATGCAAGACAGGTGACTAATAAGTCAATGAAAAGAGAGATGAGAAGGATGAGCAGATTAGTCCCAAACATCTAGAGCAGTGGTTCTCAACATTCCTAAAGCCACGACCCTTTAATACACTTCCTCATCTGGTGACCCCCAACCATAAAATTATTTTGGTTGCTACTTGATAACTGTGATGAATCGTAATGTAAATATCTGATCTGCAGGATATATTTTCATTGTTACAAATTGAACATAATTTTATAATTGAATAATTAAAGCATAGTGATTAATCACAAAACAACATGTAATTATATATTGTGAAATATTGATGTGTTTCCTGCTGGCGTTAGGTGACCCCTGTGAAAGGGTCGTTAGGCCTCCAAAGGGGTCACGACCTACAGGTTGAGAACCGCTGATCTAGAGAATGTTAGGTTCAGGCCTAATGGATAGAGGGCATGGCGCTACTTACTCTGGGTGATGTCAGCTTCGCGCCCATCTCCTCTCAATGTACAGTTGAGCTTAAGGGCACTTAATCTGAATTAACCATCAGTTTAGCCCCAAAGAATATACCTTTGTTGTTAGGCTGTGACCTTTTGGAAGCCCATCTTCTGTGGTATGTTTGAACTGCCAATATTTTGGCTAGTAGTCAGCATTTAAACAGAAATTCTGAAAATACCTTGGGGCCCAGACATCTTTAATATAAGGCATCCCCTTCAGGAACCTAGCACAAGGCTTTGCTACTGGGTTAATTGGATGATATTCATACTGAGTGCAGTGGATTTAGAGATCTGGTAGGATAGATGAGGTTGGGATTGTCAAGTCTCAGCAGTGCTAACATTGGGTGTCTGGTGCCACCAGAAAGCAGGGATGGGCTAGAAGAAACCAAGAGTTGTCAAGCATAGACAG